GGGAGATGAAACAGCTGCTCCGTGCCTACTGCACAAGGGCCTTCAGGGGGCACTGAGTGGGGAGGAGCCCGGACAAGGGAGACGACAGCGGGAGTCTGTCCTCAAGGCACCGCCAGTCAGGGTCTTTCCTTAGGAGAGACCCTACCAGGCCCGGAGGCACAAGGACCCCGAGAACTTGTGTGTGCACCTGGCTCCCAGGAGAAGGTGGTGGAGATGCTTGGCTGAGGACAGGCCTGCTGGCGCTTTGCTGGCGAGTGAACCACAGGACGGAGCAGGGCGCGTCCCAGAGAGCCAGTTTGGCCAGCCCCGCCTGGCTGGCAGAAGCTTGGCTTCCCAGTGGGCTAATAGCTGGGACACAGACGCTCTTCTCACCCTGGGCTGCACCGCACACGCCTGGCTCCAGCCAGGACAAGAGCTCTCTGGGCCAGGCCACCTGCTGAAGGTGAAGGGAGGTGTCCCGGACCATCATAGCCTGACCCCATGCCAGGCCAGCCCGTGGGGAAGCCTCCTGCCTTCCCAGCCACTCACTTAGTCCTTGAGATCCCCTGTGCCCATGGAGGCCATGGAAACCCCAGTGCCAACCAGCAGCCCAACCCTCCATCCCTGGCACAAACCCACATGGCAAGCCCAGCCCTCCACAGTGAGTGCTTGCTGTGAGCCCAGGCCTGCTCAAGGCTCAGGAAAGGTCATCTATGTCCCCCAGAGCTGGGGTGAGTGACGGAACCGACATTAGCACCTAGGGAACGTACAAGAGCACAGAGAGTAAGCCCGGCTCTGGGCACAGCTGACTTGGGGAGCAACTCCCTGGGTCGGGACCAAGCAGGCCTGTGGGGCTGGTGGGAGGGAGAATGGGCCTGGGGGGCTGTAGGAGCTCACGGGTGGGGGGGCCCTGATGTGGCTGATGCCACAGGGCAGCACAGGGTGTGCCGGGGAGGGGTGGAGGGACGGGGTGGGCAGCGTGGGGCCAGGCTGGTGGGATTGGCCTGCAGGTGGCAGAGAGACACCTGGGCTCACAGGCAGGCGGGCTAGTGAGAGCTTCGTCCAAGGAAGGTCAGGGTGATGGCCCGGCAGGCGGGCACGGGCCTGTGGGGCCAGGTGAGCGGCCGCTCCCGACAGCAGGCACTGGCATTGCCGGGGCTGCGGTGCCGGCAGTGCGAGTAGAAAGAGAGGAATCAAAAACAATTCTCAGGTGGAAGGGCAAGGGGCACCGCCTCTTCCTGAACAGTCAGTCACTGTCCTGTGCGATGCCCTTGGGCAAACAGGCGCTCTTCCAGTCTGGGGGCGTCTTTAGGCAGAATGGGACTTGCCGGGGGAACTGATGGTGCTCAGTTCTCCGAGGCCCTGGTCTTGGGCTTATTGGGCTGCGCTTTGGTCTAGCCACATGCTGGGACTCGGCTTCCTTTCCTACAAAGGGAGGACTTGGCCTCTCTAACATGCTGGTTTGAGAAGGAATAAGAAGTGATCACACTGAGGGGCTGGGGAACCTTCACGGATGAAGGGGGTAAAATACCTCACTTCTCTAAGAGGGGGTGGGAGAACAGAGGAAAGGTGGGTGAATCACAAGACTGCGTCATTAGCAGAAGCAGGGAGTGCAGCAGGGCCCGGCCGGAAGGGCGTCCTTGCTGAGAGCGGCCCAGCTGGCCCCTTGGAGGACGGTGCCAAGTGCTGACCCTCAGGAGCTCCACTGGTCAGAGACATGTCTCTCTGGACACACCCTGTGCTTTCCCCTAACTGTCCAGCCCGACCGCTGTCTGGCTGAGGACTCAGGTCCGCCCCCAGGATACCGGGTTTCTAGACCCTGAACGTTCTGATCCATGGACCATCCAAACAGAGATCGGAGTTTCCCAGGGAAGCATGAACTAACCAGACACGGGGGTGGGTGTGTGCGTGTGTGTGTGGGTGTGTGTGTCTCACTGTCCTTTGTATTCAAAGTGGAGGTGCTGCCAGCCGATGACTGGCCAGAAGCTCCCCCACCTGCTGTGGACACACGTGTGCCCACCACCTGTGCGTTCCTCTCCAGCTGCAGCTTCTCGCTTGGGACCCGGAAGGGAGTGTTTGGAAATATGCAGGGGCGCTCTCACTAGTCCCAGTGACTGCAAACGGAGGTGTTACTGGCATGTAGAGCCTGGGGGCCAGAGGCGGTAGACATCCCGCAATGCTTGGGGCATCCTTCACAATGAAGAATACCCCAGGTGCTGACAGTGCCCCACAAAGGAACACTGTGCCATTCTGTCACAAAGCCTGGCTGTGCTCTGGGTCCCTCGTGTGGGTGGACCATGCTCCTCTGTTCTGAAAACTAGTGAGGCCTGTTCTATGGCTGGAGGGTGAGACCGGCATGGGGCTCTGAATACTCATGTATACCCTCTTTCCTGGGCTGTCCGGGCTTGCTGGGTTCATCCTCCTCAGGTGGCAACCTGGTAGCTTCTTGAGGTATGGCCAGGGGGATGTAAAACTCTCAGCCGGGCTCTAGAGGCAGCCAGTCTGTCTGCAGACTGAGCATTGGAGGGATGCAGTGCCCTACTGAGCAGACATGTATGTCATGCACTGACCTAACATTCACTGAATGCTCCCAACCATGGGTGCAGTTATAATCCCAGCTGTACTGATGAACGAACTGAGGCGCACTACTTTTAAGCAACTTGCCCACGACCACCCATTGGACGATTGCCACAGCCAGGACTAAACCCAGGCAGCACGCCTGTGCCTGGCCGCTGGGCCTCCCTCCATGGGCAGCCCAGCCGGCTGGAGGAGTGTGCCTGGAGTCCCAAGACCTCACCCCAGTGGGCGGAAGGGGGAAAGGTGGCAGGCTTCAGCTAGGTCACAGGACATCTGTGCAGGGAGGGCCGGGTGCCCGTCTGAGCCTCAGAGGGGAATGCGGTCCCCTTGCTGCACTAGGGCAGGACAGCACCTGGCTGACGGGACTCTCTGCTCCTGCTTGTCAGAGTGACAGGGAGGAGTCATGGTCACGGGACAGACCTGTCCGCAGCTGTCCTCGGCCACCACCAGGCAGCACAGCCCACCCGCAGCCCTGACACCAGGAGCCGGTGGGGTGGGGGTTGCAGCTCCCAGGAGCGGGAGACGCCACGGGGGTATGCCTGATGGGGGACTGGGAAATGCAGTCCCACGGGGTGTCTCTGCCTTCCCTGCCAGTGCCCGTTCCCCATGGGCAGCTCACCGTTGCTGAGACTTGGCAGGCTGGCTCCTGCGCCTTTCCCAGCACAGGGGAGCAATGCCCAAGGCCTCTGTCAGCCTTAGTCAGCATGATCACAGTTTCTCTGGGTTTGGTCCGGAAGCAGTGATTGGACTCTGCATCAGGTCTCTGGGATGACGTCCGGGAGTGTCATTTACTGAGAACAGGAGAGTTCCTTGTGACATTTCCATTTAAAGCTTAGCCTGCCACAGGGGATTGCTCAGCGTTCCCTCCGAAGTACCCGGGTTACCGCCCTCGCCTGAGAGGGAGGTGAGAGGCGTGTGGCCACGGGCCTGAAGCAGTGGGGCCCTGACTGCATATTTTGCATGTAAGCTGTAGGGTGAGGATTCCACATTCAAGTGCTCAGAAAGCTGCCCCACGCCTCTCCCCTCTGCCTGTTACTGTCTGTCCATCTATGCCTCCCAACACCAGTTCCCTTTGGGATAGGCTGGTTCACCCCAGTTTGGGGAAGAAAACTGCACCTGCCTGAGTGCACGGAGGGTGTGTGGGTAGAGACGGGCACACTGCCGAGGTTAGCAGTTTGTGTCTTCTGAGTTTTCGATGTCCCTTCTGAGGGGGCTTGGCCCATGGGTCTTCCGTGGACTCCAGGACTCCGTGGAGATAAAGGGGGCCTGGCCGAGGCAAGGGGTGGGGGGCGAGTGCCCAGGTGCCCGAGGACCCTGCTTCCTGGTGCACACTCACACTCACGGGCAGGGTAGGTGGGCTCCAGGCTGCTGGGCTTGGCCCTCCCCCACTCCACAAAGGTGGACCCCAAGGTGGTGCCTGTGGAGACATTTTGTCAGGCTTGAAGTAGATCCTCCAGTCACAGGACAAGCCCAGGCAGGCAGCCCACCGCCTGTGAGCTCCTGGGAAAGTCCTCCTGAATAGATCTGTTGGAGCTCATTCCCACGAAGCCTCTGGTTTCACAGACTCTTCCCAGGGAGGCTGACACCCCAGGTGAGGTCATACTGAGCCCCGGACACTCTTGCCAGCCTCTCCCCACTACGAGCCTGGCTGTAAAGCCTGGGAGCTCCACCCCTGCCCAAGCTTGCAGCCCCCAGGCCTGCCTCCACATGCAGACACCCCTATAACGAAGGCCCAGGGGTAGGAGTGTTGTCCTTTGAGGGGTTCTCCAAGAGGGCCTGGTACCACCCACTTCTTGTCCTGGCAGAGGGGAGGCAAATGAGCTGTTTAGCAGAGAGGTAACAATGGAAAACAGTCCTGGGCCAGCAGTGGAGAAATTTCCCCCCACTGAGTACAAGTGGTCAAGGCAGGCTGGCTGTGTCAGAAGCTGCTGGTGTTAGAATTCACACCAGGCAAGGGGCAAGGGCTTGGGGACCCCTCACAGAGTGACACTGGAAGGCCCCTCTCCTCTCTGAGCCTCTGACTCCCCTGCTGTACCTGGCCCTTGTGGGACCAGACCAGGGGCTGTCAAATGTTTATGATGGCAACCCACAGTAAGAAATGCACTTTACACTGCAGCCCAGTTCCCATATGCTGTTTCACAACACAGCACATGTCTTTCCTACCCACACTGCACCCCGAAATTTCATACTCCAGTATATGTTATTCTGTCCTATTTTTTGAAATGATAGTCACAACCTGCTAAATTGATTTCATAATCCATAATGGGTCACAACCTGCTGTTTGAAAACTAATATATCAGAGAGTGGCTAAGATTGCACTCCAAACATTCTGGGATCCTGTGAGTGTTATTACGGGGGCCAGGCATAGGCTGTGTCCATGGCCATCTGGATCAGGGTCCCGCCTCAGGAAACCGGACTGAGCGTTTCTCCTTTTCTCTGGCCAGATCTACAACGGGACCCTCAAGCGGGAAGCTGACAACAGACGCTTCAGCTCCTACAGCCAGATGGAGAACTGGGGCCGGCACTACGCCCGGGGCAGCTGCAACACCGGTGCAGGCAGTGACATCTGCTTCATGCAGAAAATCAAAGCCAGCCGCAGTGAGCCCGACCTCTACTGCGACCCGAGGGGCACTTTGCGCAAGGGCACGCTGAGCAGCAAGGGCCACAAGACCGCCCAGAGCCGTTACAGCTTCTACAGCACCTGCAGCGGCCAAAAGCCGGTCAAGAAGTGCCCTGTGCGCCCACCCTCCTGCGTTTCCAAGCAGGACCCACTGTGCTGCAACAAGGAACTGTCCTTCGGCCACTCCAGGGCCAGCTCCAAGTGAGTGCCGCTCAGCGGTCTGGGGGCCTCGGCAGGGGCCTGGCGGAGATCCCCGACTGCCGTCAGCAAGCGAGTGCCAGTGGACCGGAAGGCCAGAGCTTCTGTCCCCAGGGAGTTCATGCCCCCTGCCTCAGGGAGTTCCTGGCCACAGAAGGTCTCACTGTGAAGGGCAGACAGAACCCAGACACTAACACAAATGGATGAGCACGTAGATTTTAAAGAGTCACAGGTTATGAGCAGAGAGGGGCTACTTAGAGGTTAGCTAGACTAGTGGTTCTCAAAGTTTGTTCCTCCAGCTAGCCTCATCAGCATAACCTGGGAACTGGTAAGAAATGCTAATTCTCAGGCCCCACCCAGCCCTTCTGTTTCAGAAGCCTTGGGAAGGGACCCAGCAAGGCACGTTTTAATGACCCTTCCAAGGGTGATGTGATTCATGCCAGAGTTTGGGAGTCTGTAGTCTTAGGCATGTTAATCAGTGTCCTTGTTCTGAAAGAGCAAAGGAATTACGCGCCCTGATGTAGACAGGGGAAAGGGAGCCATGTTCCTTCCTGTAGGAGGAAAGACAAAACAACAAAGAGACTTCCACACTGAGGGCCAGATCTGGTGCTAGGGAACAGAGCAGAGCTCCTGCCTGTAAACGCTGAAGGACCACCACCCAGTGGGTTGAAAGATGACATGGGGTGTCCCGTAAAGGGCCACAAATGTAAAGTGTGGCTTACAGATGGCCACCATGTCTCAAGGAACACTGGGCCTGCCCTCCAGCTCTCAGAGCCTGTGAGCCCCTGAGCTGTGCTTCATCGCCATCTAATATCACTTACTCATTTATCGGGGACCTGGACACGCATTTACTGAGCATCTGTTATGCTCCAAGGTCTGTGAAAAGAGTGGGACATGCAGCCATGAGTGGCACATGAACCCATTAACCCAGGAGCTTTGCCCTCTTCATCTCCAATCCTCATAGCCCCTTCCAGGAAGGTGCTAGAATTCCCAAGAAAACAAAGCACAGAGATGTTAAGTAGCTTGCCCATGGCCACACAGCTGATGCTGCAGCCTGGCGCCTACATGCTCTACCACAGCAGAACCCCATCATAAAGCCAGACTCTCCTAAGTACCTGAAAGTCATAAGGCATGTTTAGGATGACTTGGAAAAGTCCCTGGAGACTGACTGGGGCAACATCAGGCCCTGGCTTATCCCAAACCAGAGGCCCTGAGGGGAACACAGATGAGTGGCAAGCCCTTTAGAGGTGCTGTTTGACTGACAGATGCTGCGTGACATCCTCTCAATGCAGAGCAGAGCATGATTAATGCCAGACCAGAGCCCTCTGGCCCTGGGGTGATCTTTCCAGAATGGAGTTGGGAAATGATGCAGATTTTATCGAGCATCTGCTATGACAAGCCACGGGGCTGATACAGATGAGCAGCGGGCCCCCTCCAGAAATTCTGGGAAGATGTCTAGTGGGGAAGGGCTGAGTGCCACAGAAGGAGCTGCCCCCACCCTTGGAGAGCAGGCCACCTCTGTTGGGAAGCAGGGCACAGACAGGTGGAAGACAGCCTGCAAGTCAGCACATGGGAGCCACAGGGGTTCCTCGAGGAGAGGTCTCCTTTTCCCGGGAGGGGTCACAGGTGTGGGACTCCCGCGGGTCACATGGATAGAGAGGAGAAGGACACAGGCATGTCTGAGCCCTGACAGGGCCACAGCAAAGAGCACTGTCTTGCTGGGGCAGCTCTTGTTAGGTGCTGGGAAGGTACGAGACAGCACAGCAGAGCCAGACTGTTAGATTAAAACATGAGGCTTCCAGTTTCACAGCTCAAAAAAAGTTGACTATCAGCCACTTCATACGGTTCAACCTAACTCATGCCCTTGTACGTCAGTGTAAGCAGTTTGAACTTGAAACTGCAGGTGGAGAGGCTGCTGATGGGAACCACACAGTAAGCAGGGTTTTAGGATGCTAAACGGGTAAAAAGGTGCGAAATTTCAGATGGGGAGCTTCCTTGGGAGTAGGAGTTTCTCCTCCATGCAGAGGTCACCTACCCACTTGGATATTAACCCACAACCAGGGCCTCATCACAGCGAGTGGCCACCGTGGGGGAGCCTTCTCCTCTCCTGAAGGAACCACTCCCCAGGGGTGCTCCCCAGGTGGGCCTGGGGCTGCAGCCCGCCCTGTGACCTTCCCCCGCCACCTGCTCCTCATAGGATCTGCAGTGAGGACATCGAGTGCAGCGGGCTGACCATCCCTAAGGCCGTGCAGTACCTGAGCTCCCAGGACGAGAAGTGCCAGGCCATCGGGGCCTATTACATCCAGCACACCTGCTTCCAGGACGAGTGTGCCAAGCAGCAGGTAGCTGGCTACGCACCTTCCTCCCCGGAGGGCTGGCCCCATTTGGAGATGGGTGGGGCATCTGCAGCTGGTGCCTTCTCACCCTGCCCAGCTGCCTGAGGCAAGGAGTGTGCTTGGCATTGCCCGAGATCAGAACTGGGCATCTTAATCTCTGTGTAGAGCAAAACCCTCTTGTTAAGTGGGCATTAGTCAGGTGTGTGTCCTCCAGCGGTCACAAAAGAAACATGTCAGTGATAGCCAGGGGTTCAATAGAAACCCCCCTTCTCAGATTCCACTAAGAATATTATTTCCCACCCTCCACTCACCACTCCCTCCTCTTTCTCCCCATCTGTCTCTCTGTCTCTGTCTCTCTCCATATTAGGATCATCTGTAGTGGGAAATGGGGCTTCGTCATGCCTCCCAAGCTGAGCTGGGAGGGAGGACGCCTGCAGGGCTCTGCAGTTCAGCCTAAGGGTGGGATGCTATAAATGCATTTCCTGGGGAGTCCAGGATTCAGGATATTCCCGCATCAGAGCTCCTACCATGGGAGAAAGAGTTCCCGTGGGCGGGTCTCCTTTGCGTCCATCCTGCTGTAGGAGTTGGAAATGTGTTTCTCTCCATCGCCTCACCTGCCCTCAGCACCTACTCCAGGGCAGGAGAGCAGCCCTCGGACAGGAGGAGCGCCTTGCTGAGGGTCTCCCACCCAGGTGCTGGGGAGCTTGTGTCTGGTCCCTTCCATCACTCCACACTGCTTATTTACGTTGGTTGGCTTGGATGTTTCTGAACTGAAAACAGACTCTTTGGTCTGAAATACACTGCTCTGAGCAGAGTCATTAGATCAGCCTCGCCATCTTGACCAGGAGACCTGGCACCCCGTCCCAACAGGTCTATCAGCTGGGAGGCATCTGCAAGCTGGTGGACCTCCTCCGGAGCCCCAACCAGAATGTCCAGCAGGCCGCAGCCGGGGCCCTGCGTAACCTGGTGTTCCGGAGCACCACGAACAAGCTGGAGACCCGGAGGCAGAACGGGATCCGCGAGGCTGTCACCCTTCTGCGGAGAGCTGGGAGCAGCGAGATCCAGAAACAACTGACAGGTAGGGAGCCCGGGTCACGAGAGCTGGGTGGTGAGGAGCTAGACTGCGGCTGCAGCCCCAAGAGACGGAGTGCGGCGGTCCCTCCAGGCTGGGTCAGGGCACAGTGGTGCAGATTCAACCTCAGGCTAATATCCTCAAAGCTCTGTGGTACTGGCCTTGGCCAGGTTAGCAATGCCCAGGTGGTGACCCTAGGTGTCGTGCATACCCGCAAGACGCCAAGGTGTTTCTGAGGATGGAGAGCAAATGGTGGAAGGCTGCTAACCAGGCAAGATCCATATTCAGTAGACCTGGGATTTACAGGTGAAGATGGGTGTGGGGGCTAACAGGTCCTAAGCACCCACGCTATGTCCAAAACATGCTAAGCACTGACATCCCTGTGAAGCCCTCAAATTGGACTGAAAAGATGAGATGATGCAACGACTTAACAACGCTAAGTATTTCTGGAATGACTTTCAGGTGGAAAGTAGAAAACACAGGACGATATGCATGCTCAAATTTACATTAAAAGTCAGCGATGCATCACGTGTTTTTCGATCACTTTCCCTGTGCATCATTTTGATCTAGACAGAGAGCTGCAGACTCTCCCTGCCCTCAGAGAATCTGCATCTAATTGAGACATTGGGAAAGGGCTCACGAAACAATCACACAATAGATTTGATAGACCAGCCTACCTGGAAGGGGCCGTTTCAGTAGGCGCCTTGGCCAGAGTGGGCTGGGGTGTGGGACCTTCGTCCCTGGGGTCTTCCTGAGTGTGGCTTGTGTTGGGTGACTGTCCCCAACCCCCAGGGCTGCTCTGGAACCTGTCTTCCACGGATGAGCTGAAGGAGGAGCTCATCATGGACGCCCTGCCTGTGCTGGCCGACCGCGTCATCATCCCCTTCTCCGGCAACAGCAACGTGTGCCGGGAACCCGTGGACCCTGAGGTCTTCTTCAATGCCACGGGCTGCCTGAGGTGAGCGAAAGGGCGCCACGGGATCCTTTCACCCAGCCTTGGGACGCTCCCCAGGCAGCCCCATCCCAGCCAAGACTCCGCCAGGGCGGAGAACATAATGTACAGCCTGGCATTGGCCCTCAGTGGGGGCCCGGCATTCCTAACTTCTCTGGATATGGATAAGGCTCAGGACCCCACAGCCTCCTCGGATGGACCCCAGTAGACTTAGGAATCTAAGAGTAGAAATGCCTAGATCTGGAAATACAAACTGGCCCCAGCATTTCCCCTCCTTCACCCCCCAAAACAGGCATTTCTCCTACTGTCTTGAGGAGCGTTCCTTTAGACAAAAGTCTGGTCGACTCCTAATGAGTCACTTCCCAGCTGTGGTGCTAAAACTATTGGCCATATTCGCTGGCGTGAAGATGGCACTGCTTTGCCCAGCTTCCTGAGTCCCCTGCCAGTGAGGCAAAGCCCCAGGGGGCTGTTGGCTGAGGGACCGGTGTGCTCATTCCAGGAGAGTGGGGGGTGGGTGCTGGCATGGGTTGGAGCAGTGGGACCCCGAAGGGGATCTGCCCCACAGCTCTAATGGGCTTTGTCTTCCCCAACTCTCGGAAGCCCCAGAATGAGGGGTGCAGTTGGCGTGCGGCTTGTGTCTCAGCTTGAGCTCTTCCCTGCCAGCCTCCAGGGAGCAGGGAGGCTGGGGAGATGAATGACCAGGGTAACTAAGGACTCCATGGGGCCACAGGACTGCAGGGGGCAGGAGCAGCCGCACACCCCCTGCCCCAGGCTGCTTGGGAACGAGCCCTCCGCAGGGGCCAGAACACAGCTTCCCTGGGGAGGCGCACCTGGCCCCCAGCCCAGCCCCCCTGGGCTCCATTCCCAACCCACGCCTGGCCCCAGCTCCCCTCCCGCCTCTGCAGGCGCCCACCAGCAGCAGGGTGGCTGCCTCGGGCTGCGCTGGAGCCAGACAGTCAAAAAAGTGACAGGCCAGGGGGCCAGGTGGACAGACGGAGGCGTGAAAAGAACTGAGTTGAAGCGAAATGCCATCCCAGCCTCGGCCAGACGGGGCAGACTGATTTTTCTCTCTTTCTTTCTTGGTCATTTCCTTTCCCTTCTGCATTTCTCCCCTCTTCTCCGCCTCTCAAACCTCCAATCTCACCCCTTCCCCTGCGTCCCCACCTGCTCTCCCTGGCACCCCCTTCCCTGCACCTCCCCACCCGCTCTGTCCTCCACCTCAGGAACCTGAGCTCAGCCACCGCCGGCCGCCAGACCATGAGAAACTACACGGGACTCATCGACTCCCTCATGGCCTATGTCCAGAACTGCGTGGCGGCCAGTCGCTGCGACGACAAGGTGAGACTGTGGCCCCGCCTCCAGGCCTCCTCCGTGCAGAGCTGCGAGGCCCAGGGCCCCTCTTCTGCCAGTGAGCACGGCACCCTGGACTCCAGGTCCTGCCCTCTTACTCACCCAGACCCTGCAAGGCAGGTCTTGGCTTTCTGGGGATCTTTAAGGCGCGGTCTGGGGACAGGAGCCCAGGGAGTGGCCTGCGGAGATGGTGTCTGGGTGCAGAGGGCTCCGACCTTCCCGGGAGGCGGTTCCGGGGGCGGGCTTCGGAGGCAGACCCTTTCTCCCCCACCAGCGGCGCTGTGGACACAGGCGCTTCCATGGTCTCTCTGTTCCTCCGTTCGCACCTTGCTCGGACGGAGATCATCATCGCCAGTTTCCCTCGTGGGTCGGTCTGAGGGTTCAATTAGTTCATAAGCAAAACAAGAAGAATAGTGCCTGGCACAGAGAGCCCCCCATGAGCGCCTGGCACAGAGAGCCCCCCATGAGTGCCTGGCACAGAGAGCCCCCCATGAGCGCCTGGCACAGAGAGCCCGCCATGAGCGCCTGGCACAGAGAGCCCCCCATGAGCACCTGGCACAGAGAGCCCACCATGAGCACCTGCTGCTGTCGGTAGCAGGGCTGAGCCCTGCGGGCAGCCCGAGGAATCCACAGCGCTACTCCAGGGCCTCGGGGTCCTCCCTGTGCCACGCTGTCTTCCCACTGCCTCCCAGAAAGGCCCTTGGCAAAAGCACCCTCCCATGCCCTCTGGGCTTTTGGGTACACCAGCACAGACAGACAGACAGACAGGAAAAATCACAGAGGAAAGAGAAACTGAAGGCTGAGGTATTTCCCCCAGAGTGGGACAGTGACCCGGGAGAGCGGCGAGGTCCTGTGGCCCCCAGGCAACCAGGGCACTGGCCGGGCATCAGGGACACCTGGGTCTGCACACGGTTTTGCTGCAGAGGGATCTTTGTGCCCCGCTCCCTCCACTGGCCTCAGGAGAGAGCCTGTCACTCGGCTGCTCAGCCAGGACCCAGCGGCATCGTGCTTTTCTGCTCCGGATGGAACGTCCCCCACACCTGTGTGACCTGGACCCTGGCAGCCAGATTGCCTCCCCCTGAGCGGGGCAGAACACCCTTGGGAGGGCAGTCAGCTGCCCCAGACCTGCAGGAACCCTAAGGGGCAGCTTCCACTGAGCAGGACTGGTCCTCGCCTCACTGGCCTGTGGCCCTGGGGGCCGTTAGCACCTTTGGAAAGGAAGGCTGAGGAGCAACCGTGGAAAGAGGGAGTGGCTGGAGCTCGGGGTGGGTCTGAACCTGAAGGTGTCAGGGCTGCTCCCAAAGGAGCGTGTGCCAGGACAGAAAGCACATCCTTCCGTGGCCCCATGGGGCCCCTGGCACAGGGGCTGCCGCAGCACAAACAGCAGCCACCGTCCGGCGGACTCATGATGTGCCAGGCCCCTGATGGGTACTTTCCACGTGTAACCTTCCCAATGGCCCAGGGAAGAGGCGACTGTAGTACCATTTTACAGCTGAGGAGACTGAGGCCCAAAAAGGTGAAGCAATTCACTCGAGTTCACACGGCTAGGACACAACAGAACCGGCTTCAAATGCAGGGCCCAGGAGGGGTCCCTGGGAGGTCCCCTCACACGGGTGGGTGGCTGTGCTGCTCCTGCCCGGGCTCCTCGGTGAGGGCAGGGGCTGGGCAGAGGCTCAGGGCCACGCTTCTGCTTGGCCCCAGTCTGTGGAGAACTGCATGTGCATCTTGCACAACCTGTCCTACCGCCTGGACGCCGAGGTGCCCACCCGCTACCGCCAGCTGGAGTACAACACCCGCAACGCCTACACGGACAAGTCCTCCACCGGCTGCTTCAGCAACAAGAGCGGCAAGATGATGGTGAGCACCCTGGCCTGCAGGACCAGGCCCTGCCCTCCAGCACCCCACCGGGCCTGCCTGCCTCACCCGCCCTGCATCAGAGCCATGGCCTCGGGACCCTCGACACATGGGGGCTGGGCACAGGGCACCCTGCTTGCACACAAACGGGGTCTGAGTCCTTGGGAGGAGGAGCTGAGGCCGCCTCAGGAGTCAGAGGCCCCCCCCACTGTTTGCAGCCTCGCCCCCTCTGACTGTGTAATGGACATCTTCTCCCTGACCTGGAGGCTTGGGGTAGCCAGGGCTCTACGCCACACACACCCCCTCTGGCCAGGTTCCCACTGCCTCCTGACCCTCCCAGGTTTTCCCAGAGGCAGACCCATGCTGTGGAGGGGCTTGGCTGCAGAAGCCACACCGGGGACGGTCCCTGTCGGCCCGGGGTCTGACTCTGGGAGGGGAGGAAGCTTCAGGGTGTGAGGCCCAAATGCAGCCCCACCCCACCCGCTCTGTCCTCCACCTCAGGAACCTGAGCTCAGCCACCGCCGGCCGCCAGACCATGAGAAACTACACGGGACTCATCGACTCCCTCATGGCCTACGTCCAGAACTGCGTGGCGGCCAGCCGCTGCGACGACAAGGTGAGACTGTGGCCCCGCCTCCAGGCCTCCTCCGTGCAGAGCTGCGAGGCCCAGGGCCCCTCTTCTGCCAGTGAGCACGGCACCCTGGACTCCAGGTCCTGCCCTCTTACTCACCCAGACCCTGCAAGGCAGGTCTTGGCTTTCTGGGGAATCTTTAAGGTGCGGTCTGGGGACAGGAGCCCGGGGAGTGGCCTGCGGAGGTGGTGTCTGGGTGCAGAGGGCTCTGACCTTCCCGGGAGGCGGTTCCCGGGCGGGCTCCAGAGGCAGACCCTTTCTCCCCCACCAGCGGCGCTGTGAACACAGGCGCTTCCATGGTCTCTCTGTTCCTCCGTTCGCACCTTGCTCGGACGGAGATCATCATCGCCAGTTTCCCTCTTGGGTCGGTTTGAGGGTTCAATTAGTTCATAAGCAAAACAAGAAGAATAGTGCCTGGCACAGAGAGCCCCCCATGAGCACCTGGCACAGAGAGCCCCCCATGAGCGCCTGGCACAGAGAGCCCCCCATGAGCGCCTGGCACAGAGAGCCCCCCATGAGCGCCTGCTGCTGTCGGTAGCAGGGCTGAGCCCTGCGGGCAGCCCAAGGAATCCACAGCGCTGCTCCAGGGCCTCGGGGTCCTCCCTGTGCCATGCTGTCTTCCCACTGCCTCCCAGAAAGGCCCTTGGCAAAAGCACCCTCCCATGCCCTCTGGGCTTTTGGGTACACCAGCACAGACAGACAGACAGACAGGAAAAATCACGGAGGAAAGAGAAGCTGAAAGCTGAGGTATTTCCCCCAGAGTGGGACAGTGACCCGGGAGAGCGGCGAGGTCCTGTGGCCCCCAGGCAACCAGGGCACTGGCCGGGCTTCAGGGGCACCTGGGTCTGCACACGGTTTTGCTGCAGAGGGATCTTTGTGCCCCGCTCCCTCCACTGGCCTCAGGAGAGAGCCTGTCACTCGGCTGCTCAGCCAGGACCCAGTGGCATCGTGCTTTTCTGCTCCGGATGGAACGTCCCCCACACCTGTGTGACCTGGACCCTGGCAGCCAGATTGCCTCCCCCTGAGCGGGGCAGAACACCCTTGGGAGGGCAGTCAGCTGCTCCAGACCTGCAGGAACCCTAAGGGGCAGCTTCCACTGAGCAGGACTGGTCCTCGCCTCACTGGCCTGTGGCCCTGGGGGCCGTTAGCACCTTTGGAAAGGAAGGCTGAGGAGCAACCGTGTAAAGAGGGAGTGGCTGGAGCTCGGGGTGGGTCTGAACCTGAAGGTGTCAGGGCTGCTCCCAAAGGAGCGTGTGCCAGGACAGAAAGCACATCCTTCCGTGGCCCCATGGGGCCCCTGGCACACGGGCTGCCGCAGCACAAACAGCAGCCACCGTCCGGCGGACTCATGATGTGCCAGGCCCCTGATGGGTACTTTCCACGTGTAACCTTCCCAATGGCCCAGGGAAGAGGCGACTGTAGTACCATTTTACAGCTGAGGAGACTGAGGCCCAAAAAGGTGAAGCAATTCACTCGAGTTCACACGGCTAGGACACGACAGAACCGGCTTCAAATGCAGGGCCCAGGAGGGGTCCCTGGGAGGTCCCCTCACACGGGTGGGTGGCTGTGCTGCTCCTGCCCGGGCTCCTCGGTGAGGGCAGGGGCTGGGCAGAGGCTCAGGGCCACGCTTCTGCTTGGCCCCAGTCTGTGGAGAACTGCATGTGCATCTTGCACAACCTGTCCTACCGCCTGGACGCCGAGGTGCCCACCCGCTACCGCCAGCTGGAGTACAACACCCGCAACGCCTACACGGACAAGTCCTCCACCGGCTGCTTCAGCAACAAGAGCGGCAAGATGATGGTGAGCACCCTTGCCTGCAGGACCAGGCCCTGCCCTCCAGCACCCCACCGGGCCTGCCTGCCTCACCCGCCCTGCATCAGAGCCATGGCCTCGGGACCCTCGACACACGGGGGCTGGGCACAGGGCACCCTGCTTGCACACAAATGGGGTCTGAGTCCTTGGGAGGAGGAGCTGAGGCCGCCTCAGGAGTCAGAGGCCCCCCCACTGTTTGCAGCCTCGCCCCCTCTGACTGTGTAATGGACATCTTCTCCCTGACCTGGAGGCTTGGGGTAGCCAGGGCTCTACACCCCACCCCCATCTGGCCAGGTTCCCACTGCCTCCTGACCCTCCCAGGTTTTCCCAGAGGCAGACCCATGCTGTGGAGGGGCTTGGCTGCAGAAGCCACACCGGGGACGGTCCCTGTCGGCCCGGGGTCTGACTCTGGGAGGGGAGGAAGCTTCAGGGTGTGAGGCCCAAATGCAGCCCCACACAGCTGGGAGGCCGGGCAGTGGCTGGCCTGGAGTGCACTTCCCCAGGTACTGAGAATGTACTCCTCCCTGAACAGAGCCCGGCCACCGTGGTGACGGGCCCCTCATGCCGCAGTGAGGAAAGGGGCCCAGCGGGCAGGCACTTCCTCAGGCTGGTCCACCCGGGAACTCTGCCCCTTGGGTTAGGAGGGCAGGTGGGGGGAGCAGAATGTTCAGCTGGGCCCCCTCACCATGCGCCCTATTGACCTGCCCTTTGTCCTTAGAACAACAACTATGACTGCCCCCTCCCCGAGGAGGAGGCCAACCCCAAGGGCAGCAACTGGCTGTACCACTCAGATGCTATCCGCACGTACCTGAACCTCATGGGCAAGAGCAAGAAAGATGCCACCCTGGAGGCCTGCGCCGGCGCCCTGCAGAACCTGACTGCCAGCAAGGGGCTGGTGAGGCCCCCCCACCCCGCGAATCCCTGACCCCCCGTCTCCCCAGGTTGCGGTCCGGGCTCCGCCCCCTGCCTTCCCACAAGCCTGTCCCCCGTCTGGGTGTGTGGGCTTCGGACCTTGTTTGCAAACACGAATAGAGGATCTGGTGTGTGCTAGGCTCTGGGCTGGGCACTGGGGACATGGTGAGGGAAACGGCCCAGCCCTCTGGGAACTCCCAGGTGGCATATAGTGGGTGAACCCCCTCATGCTAGATTCTGCCTGTGCCCACAGAAGCCCCTTCGCCTCGCGACTCCTGGCCCCCTGCCTGGGGTCGAGGGCAGGGAGGAGGGTGTGTCTGTAGCAAGGGGAGTCTCCTGTTTGTTGAACTGACAGAGATAAAAATAGAGGGTCTGAGGCATGGGCAGGTCCAGCAGAGATGCCGCGACCGAATCCCCTTGTCTGGTGGACAGGATGGAAGGTGATGGAGCCCTAGGAGGCCTGTTTGCGACCAAAAGCATTTAGACGGGGAGGCAGTCGCCAACCCCCATCTTCCCTTAGGACAAAGGGCGTCAGGCGGCAGCAGGAGATGGGGGAGGAGGGTCAAGAAGAAACTTCCTGACTGTGAGAGGATGGCGCTGGGGTCCCCAAACCAACCTGGACCGGATTACAGCCAGGAGGGCTTTGTCGCTAGAGGCCAGGATGAGCTGACCGACTTCCAGGGTACCTGGATTGTATCTTCATGTGAGCACAGACCCTTTCTTATCCATCTTTGTCTCGGGCAAGTGCTCAACACATAAGTATTGAATTCTTCAGAGTAGGAATTAAGAAGGACTGTGCTTCCCTAATTGACAAATATCCTCAACCATGTGGTTTCACGTGAGCAGATTCTGCTGGGAAATGTAAGGAGGCACGGCTGGGGCAAGTGATGGCACTGAGCGAGGGCACTGAGCCTCCCCTCCTGGCACCCGGCTGGGCTCCAGGCAGACCCTGGGGTGCCGGCCGGGTCAGGAAAGGTGTAGCTTTTGGTGTGAGCCGATATGTGGCTGTTTTTGCTGGTGTCTCGACGTGAAAGAGAAACAGTTCTGGGGTTTCTGTGTTTGAGGTTACCTGCCCTCACCTGCCATGGCACGTGGGGAGGTCCTCACTGGTCCCCCTCCTCAGATGTCCAGCGGCATGAGCCAGCTGATCGGGCTCAAGGAAAAGGGCCTGCCACAGATCGCTCGTCTGCTGCAGTCCGGCAACTCCGACGTGGTGCGGTCCGGGGCCTCCCTCCTGAGCAACATGTCCCGCCACCCCGCACTTCACAGGGCCATGGGTAAGCACCCTCCACTGCCTCGGGCCGCCCCTTCTTTCCTCCCACTCCAGATGGGGCTTGTCAGGTCCCCCACTTTCCCAAGCCTGCTGGAAGGCCACCCTCTACCTACTCCCTGGCCTCCCTGTGCAGAGGTCCACCGGGTCCCGAGCCCTGAGTTGGAGCTGAAATGGAGCCAGGGGGCCTCCTGGCCAGGGGCAGCCCAGAGGGAACCCTCAGCCCCTGCTTCCCGCTGACCCCCACCCTCCATTCCTTTCTCTCCCAGGGAACCAGGTGTTCCCGGAGGTGACCAGGCTGCTCACCAGTCACACTGGCAACACCACCAACTCAGAGGACATCCTGTCCTCAGCCTGCTACACCGTGAGGAACCTGATGGCCTCCCAGCCGCAGGCGGCCAGGCAGCACTTCTCCAGCAGCATGGTCAACAACGTCATCAACCTGTGTCGCAGCAGGTGCGGCGCCCTCGCCCACCGCCCAGCCCCTCCCCACACTCAGTGCAGGGCAGGAAGCCCTGCGGGAGGAGGCCGCAGGCAGAGGTTCCAGAAGCCAGGAGGGCTGGGGGCCAAGCAGTTGGCAGCCAGGTCTCAGGGCTGCACAGAGGGGCCAGGGGCATGCACCTCTTGGCCAGGGGCCCCCAGAGGGCCGCCAGAGGCAGAGAGCAGCTGGCCCAGCTGCGTGGGAGCCACATTCCTCTCCACGGGCTCTCTGCTCCAGGACGAGGGCCAGGGGACCAGAATGGGAGCACACTCCAGTGCAGGGGCCCCCAGGAGCCTTCCGGGATGGAGGGGTTGGGGGTCGTGCCCACTGTGTAGAGAGCCCGGCCCAGGGGTCTCCTTGGGGCTTCCACACATCTCCAAGACCTGGAGGTGAGGATGGAAGGAAGGAGGGGCCCGTCCTCACACCTCCCAGAGTCTCACCCCACGAATGAACTTCCCACCCGCCCAGTGCCTCCCCCAAGGCTGCAGATGCTGCCCGGCTCCTCCTGTCTGACATGTGGTCCTGCAAGGAGCTGCAGAGTGTCCTCAGACAGGTAAGCGTCCACACCATCAGGCCCTCCCTACTGGTCAGGCTTTCTGGTACTTTCTCGAACTGAATCCAGTCCAGACAGACCAAGGAAAGACAGAATGGCCTGGCCCACCCAGTGCAGGGAGAACGAGTCACGCTCAGGACAGAGTCGAGAGACAAATGTGCATGACAAGTATGATCAATGCTCTGAACAATCTCTAGGCTCTGGGATCTCAGCAGCTGCTGAGTGCCTGGAGGGCAGAGGCAATCAAGGAATGTGTGAGAGGCCTGGGGTGGGATTCTTTAGGAGCAAACTGAAAAGCAGGGTGGACAAAAGGTACAAAACTCACTTGAGAGCCCCAGGTACTCTGGCTGGAAGGGCAGGGCTGGGCTAGATCGCAAACCCCCTTTAACTTCAGACTGAAGACTTGAGGAGTTTGCCTTCGTCACCAGGAGGCCACGGGGGGCTTTGAGGAAGGGGTTCCATCCCACTCCTCCCTGTTGTCATTGACAACAGCCGTTCCGGGGCTAGGCCAGTGCTTCTGTCCCCACAGCACCTGCGCACCCTCCTATCACCGGGCTGCCACAGCCATGGTGAGGCAGGCCGTGTGGCTTATGTCCGTCCTGCTGAGTAGGAGTCAGGGACCCAGGAGTTCGCCGTGATTCAGTGAGTCAGGGCAGGAGCAGGGCTGCGACCCAGGACTTCTCACTCCTGGGCTCTTCCCACCAAACACAGCCGCGTGCAGCAGGAGAGAGCGAGAAGTCTGCTGGGAGGAAGCCAATGGCATGGGGCACTTGCCCAGACCCAGCAGGACTGGGACTTGGGACCACCTGCCATCCTGGGTCCCTCATGTTCCTACAGCCCAGCGAGAGCTGATGGGGCTCTCAGAGCTCGGGGCTGGCACCAGGGGCCCCTTCTGCAGTGCTCATTTACTCCAGAGCACTTGTGGAGCACCTGCTGTATGCTAGGAGAAAAACAAAGACGAGACTCCATCCACTGGGACCTGGGGGACTGGGGGGCTGCTGAGGGAGGGCGGAGCCTGCAGAGCAGCGGCTCCTCATGACCAGTGCCAGCCCTAGCTCCGGTGTTGAAAACGCCCTCCCTGCCAAGAGCTTTTCTCAGGATTTAAAAAAATAGGGACATTCAGAGGCAAGAACAACTGACAGCTTTTCTAGTCTGATCCTGGTTGTTGTCAAAAGAATCAGGACTAGCTCCTCCCCTCCCGCCTTGAGCAGGGGTGTGCAAATAACCCAAGTGAGCTGCTGGAAGCCCAGGCCCACTTCACTAACTCAAGGATAGGAATGGCCTTACGCTTCGTCGCACGTCTAACGAGGCCAGTTTTAGCCCTGACCATGTATGTAATGTGCCCAAAGAACCATGGTTCACGCCTGTGCAGGCTCTGGAGGGGCCGTTTCTTCCCCAAGAATGGTATCTCACATGGTTGCTGCTTCTCCCCTGTAGCAAGGTTTCGATAGGAGCATGCTGGGGACCTTAGCCGGGGCCAACAGCCTCAGGAACTTCACCTCCCGGTTCTAGGAAAAGGCCACTCGAGCAAGGTCAGCTTGCAGGTAAGAACTGTCCCACCTGTGGGCGAGGGGCCCTCCAGGATGTGTGGAGCAGCCTCAACCAGCGTCAGAGGGAGGGGCCAGGCCTGTGCTCCCCAAGGACACAGAAGCATCCTAGCTCTGGGAGTCAGCCTGGCTCTGGCCGACACAAGGGCTGTGAGGACGGCTGTACAGACCTCTTGGTCTGAGTGCAGGAGCTGGCGCACTGCATGATATCAGGGGTGTGCAATGGCCTGGTGGGGTCAGCAGGCCAGAGGTCCAGGCACAGCTACTGAGTACAGCTGTGTGTGGGCACACTACACAGCCCAGGCCTGCCATTCCGTGGATTACAGTGTGAATGGTCCCTCTGCAGTGCTACAATCTGTCATTCCGGGCTTGGGCATCTACAGCTCACTGTCTTATCCTTTTATAATCCACTTTCCAGTCTCTGCACATCCTAGAGAGGACAAGCTTATTTCTAGCTGATGACTCTAGGGACAAAAACCTCAAGCCAAAATCTATGACAAAGGAGTGCAAGTCTTAGCTTTCATTAGAATCACCTGATGGCTGCAAAGCCCACCCCTGGTGCTGCCCCAGCAGCTCTGACTCAGTGGCTCTGGAGTGGAAAATTCATTTTTAAACAAGCATCCAAAGTGTTTCTGATGCAAGTGAGCCAAGGGCCACACGTAGGTCATCACACTTACATCAGCAATCCTAGAGAGCGTCACCAGAGGTGGCCCTGGCGCGGAGCCATCTGCAAAGAGCCAGGGATGAGGACAGGATCTCCTGAGCTGAACGGGACTTGTTAGTGCCCCAGCTACCTGCCAGCACCCCAGCACCTGCGGAGGGTCTGGAAGGGAGGGGAGCTGTGACTTTGATCCAGATAGAGACCACCGTCCCCTGGCAGATGAGCTTCAAGAACACGAGGGAAAGGAGAGGGCACAGTCTAGATGCTCGGTGCTGGGCACCGTGGTGGCAGCCCAGCGTAGGTATGGCAGCTGGGGCACAAAGCCGACAAGCTCTGAGGGTAGGAACAAGCCATGAATGTGTCAAGGGTGAGCCTGCGTCCGTGTGCTGGGCGGGAAGGGGGCGCGGTGCTGGGCCCAGCTGCTGGTGGGCCTGCCGCCCTCTCGGTGCTGACTGGAGGACTTCTTTTCCAGAAGCGATGTGACCCACTGAGAAGACCTCAGGCCTTGCTGGAGGGGTTATTCTGTCCACCACGTGCAGTATTTGGAAAAGTTCAAATGCAACTGAGAACAAACCTGAAAACTATGGATGATGGAAATATTTTTAGATTCCTTTTTTTTTTCCTTGGGGGAATTGGCAGGCGATAGGGGTTGGGGGAGGGTGGGGGGGTACTTTCTTGAGTTAAAGGGGCTTATGTCTGATGTTAATACTTCTTTCGCTACGAAATGGTATATATATATGTGTGTATAATGTGTGTGTGCATGCACGTGTGTGCATGAGCACCTAATAGCATGACCACAGACTGCAAAAAGCTAGATCCGATATTTTATTGCAGCTCATGGGTGGTAAAAGGACTCCCCGTGTTTCTTACTGACAGGCAAGTATGGTGCTTTTGCTTAGCTGCCTGGAGGTCCTGAAGTGTATTATGCCAGGGCAGGGTCCCTGCCCGGAGTGAGGCCCGTGAGGAGTCTGCAGGGGGACTGACCCCCGAGGACGAGGCAGGAGGGGAGAGTAACCCGGGCTGGGGCTAACCTCCCCTCTGAAGAGGCGGCCGTGCAAGAAGGGAGGCTGGCATGGATACTGAGGTTCACGGTATCTCAGGGGAAAATCTAGTCTGATAGGCTGCCCTTCCCACAATGCCACAAGGACAAGGACTGGGGCTGGGCAGGGGTGGGGCTCCAGAGATGGGCAGGGACAGTCTGGCTTGCTTTGCTCTATGAAGTCTGTCCCAGAAGAGTAGGAGACAGAGAGAGGGGCCTGTCCATTCTCCTGGGCTGTGTACCATCAGAGCAGGCTCAGCAGAAAGCCCATGCCTTCAAGGGCTTGTAACCTGCCTGCTGCAAGAGAAAAGGTGAAATGGTGCTCAAGGCCAAGGAGCTGTTCACCAAATGGCTGTTCAATCTTCCTTATCCCAGTGGAGTGGAGGTCAGGCTGGGGCTGAGCAAGGACCTGCCCCAGCCTCCAGTGGGACAGAGGCCATTTGGAAATTAACCAAGAGGACACTTCCCTGCCTGCCTGCTGAGATTCAAGTGAAGGAGTGTTTGGGGTCCCAGGAGACTTGAGAATTTGAATAGACCAGGAGAGTAGCTGTCACGTCAGGGGCGGCAGCGAGCCCACACCCCAGCCCCGGCTGTCCCCACCTTCCCCTGAGCCACAGCCGTCCTGTCTTGCCCTGGCATGTGTTAGAAGAGGCCCATCAGGGGCACCAGCCACAGCCCTGGCCCCTGACTCTTGTGCATTTCAGAGCAGGGGAAGCAGAAGGGCCTCCTGTAAATAGCCCTCGGTATACACTGTAAGACAGGTGGAACGGAGGGTTCCCAAGCTCTCCCGTCAGCCTCCACTGGCCGCGTTGCCATCAGCGGTGTTAGAAGGAGGTTGCTGCCTGGTCCATACCCTGCCCCCTGCTCCTCAGCCCCCCAACCTCCTCCCAAGTCTCCTACCCCTCTGCACTACCCCCAGTCCAGCCCCACTTCTTTCCGCAGCACTCTGAACTGGAAAACACCTTTCAGGACTAGAGATGTGCCATGAAGAGAGGTGGCAGCTGAGCCTGGGGTGGGCCAGCCACGTGCTAACCGGCCCCCTAGCCAGGCGTCCCGCAGGGCTGTAGGGCTGTGGCATTCCCCCACCTCCTGCCTCACCCCCTCCTCAGGGCCTGCCTGGGGGCCTGGTCCCACCAGACCATCCTGGATATAGATTTCAAGATGACTCCTCTGCCAGTCATCAGGGCCCAAGGAATGCATTTCTTTAAAAAGTATGTATTTTTTTAATGTTTTTAGAAACACCAACATGTGCCGGGCGCTGTTATAAGCACTCGGGACAGTTGGGTGGGCAGAGCAGAGCACAGCCAGAGTGAAGAGCCAGGTGGGCCCAGCCCTCTGCCCTGGGAAGGTGGCAGCTTTGCAGGCCCCGGTGGCCAGGGTGGACAGGCCTGACTTCAGTGACCTCTCGCGCCCTCCCAGGCCAGGTCCCAGGGCTTGTCATCAGGCCTCTGACCCACGCCTGCCACTTTGGAAGAGGCAAACCGGAGAGGGGCCTGAGGATGCGTTTCCTAGAGAAAAGGACTAAGGGGCTCACCGGGCTGCCCGAGCCAAGGTCCATCTCTGTATTTTAAGCCCACATTGGCCTCAGGCTACCAGGGTTGGACCCCCAAACAAGATGCTCCAATGCAGGGCCAAATGAGGAAGGGCACAGACCACTGCCCTAACCCCCAGCTGAGCCTGAGACAGATCCAGTCATTGGCCACAGCAGCCTGCCCAGTGGGGCCAGACCAGCAGCACGGGTGCCCCCTTCTCCCAGGAACTCGGCAGGCAGGGGTGCCCCCTCCCGTCCACCCCGCCCAGCTGAGGGGTGGGATGGCTGTGGCCAGGGGATGCTGCACAGTGCCTGGAGCCCATCCTCTGTGTCTGTCTAAGAGCCGTGCTGGCCGCGCCCAGTGTCCCTGTGTGATACGCTATGTATTTGCTTTTTTGGAACTATAGGAAATCAATAAATTGCTAGCGTTTCTTTGAGCTTTTCCAAGAAGTGGATTATTTGGGGTGCCATCGATGAATGAAGAGCTGCCCACTCTTTTCCAGGATCGCCCTTACTGACCCCGTGCCTGGCAGGGTTGAGACCACCTCCTGGGGGTGGGGGCACACCACTCAAAGATTCCTGCTTGGTGTGGGCACGTGTCACCTGCACGGGAGCTCCCTGATGCCAGAAGTAAACTGAGGCCCAGGCAGGGAACAAATAAGGCCATGTCACACCGCTTGTAAAGGGGAAAGTCACCACAAGCATAAACATACTCAGGCAGGGTACCTGTAGGAAAGTGGACATCATGTAAAAGTGGTGCATGTTTACTGCAATTGTCCTCTACCTGGGCCTGTATGAGGGGCTGAAGGGTCACAAAAGCAGAGGGTATGCTGGGCCCCAGCATCAATGGGCTCATAAGGGATGCAACACACACATGGAACTTTCTAAGACACAGGTAGCACATTCTAAGAGGCAGTTTGGAGGTGACCATCAGTGAGAGTCCCGGCCACCTGGTAGAGAAGGTTGGGAATTTCAGAGAAGGAGCTGGAAATGAGCTTCTCGCAACCTGGGAGGGTGGTGCTGGCAAGCGCCTCTCTCCAGAGCCCTGACCTCCCAGGTCATCCATCCCTTTGCTAATGGTCAGGAAGGCCAGGGAGCAGGGGCAGTGCCCAGGGGACAGAAGATGGCTTGTCTGTGGCCTACGTCGTTAATACACTAAGTTTGGGCCTTTGAATATGTCTTGAGACCTGAGAAACATGTATCGGCTCTGGAATGTGAGATGGAATTACACATTCCAGATCATAAATGCATAGTCATTAAGCTTCGCTAACACAGAACATACATGCGGAAGAGCACACAACTGCAATGTGTGCGGCTCTGAATCTTCACAAACTGAACACACGAGCAACCAGCACCCAGATCAAGAACAGCTTGCCACCTGCACCCAGAGCCCAGCTCGGTCCCTGCCTGTAACTGTCTCATTCCCCAGGGGCAACCACTGTCCTGACCTCCTCACCCCAGAGTAATCTTGCCTGTTTTTTTCCTTGGCATGAATGGAGTCAATATGTTCCTTTTGGTGTCTGGCTTCCTCAGCTCCTGTTCACAGGATTCACCCATCCCTGTGACACGTCACGGTCACTGCGGTTTGGCAGTCCATCCTGGGAATGTACTGCAAGGAAAAATGCAGTATTACATCCCCTCGTGGCTACGCCTGGTATTTACAAGCATTGGAAACAATGTGCAGATTAGTTGTCTCACTTCCCAGTAGTTCCCACGTAGGATATGACTACTGGGAAATTATAACTAACAGTAAAAAAAAAAAATGGATTCTATGTAGGATGTGGGTATAGTAAGCGTGGGAATGCCAACGGGCCCAAAGGTCTTACTTAAGTCAGTCATCCCTAACCAGAAGGGTGGCAGGCCCTTCTAGACCCTCAAAGGACCGGCTGATGAATAAGGGGCCCTGGGGTCCAGCAGCAGAGGGAAAGGCCGAGCTGGTGGCAACAGGAGCAGCCGGGAGCTGAGACTATGGCAGAGGACAGGTCTCAAGACTGGCGGCTGAGTGTCCCAGGCCCCACATGCAGGAGGCCCACAGTATCTGCTGCTGCGCCCGGGAGCCGTTTCCTCCCGTGCCCTTTGGCCGCTGACCTGGCCCAGGGCCCAGTACCCCCGCCGGAGTCCAAGCTGCTTTGGGGATAAAGTCCTCCGGCCGTCCCCGTGCACCACGCCTTAGAACAGAGCACACTCTGTTGCCCAGCGCAGGCGAAGAAAGAGCGACAGGAGTTGTTAATAATAATGATCATCTTCTCACTGGAGGGACTACAGAATGACCCCTTTACCCTTCAAAGCCATAGGGTATTATTCACTTTCTGTTTTAATCTTTACTTCCTTCAGAGCATTAAAATCCAGTTCACAGATGAGAAAACTGAGACGCAGAGAGAGAAACTTGCCCAAGGTCATGTGGCAAGTTTATGGCAGAATAAAGGCTGAGGCCCAGGCCTCCTCTGCCAGCCCAGGTGTGCTCTGACCAGCTGATGGGACCCCTCCCAGCTGCCAAGGCTCTGGGACACGAGACAGGCCCAACACAAAGGCCATGCTGTGCATAATTCAACCTTTAGTGATTCAGAAGCTCCAGCTTCCTTGAGGCAGGCAACAATTACATGTTTTATGAGCTGGGGTGGCTGTGCAGACAAAAGTTGATTCATGGAACAGCAGATACTGTACCAGACACAAATCTACTGTGAGGATCATCTAATCTGGGGCCAGCTGGTCCGGTTGGTTATAATCTGGAGCAAATAAGAGCAGAGCCACAGGACAAAACATGCCTCAGTGACAGCAGCAGGTGTCCCCCACCCTGTGTGGCCATTCTCATACCTGCCACTGCTCAGCAGGGTGCAGATGTCACGGCAGCATGTCAGCCCTCTAGGGGAGCTATGTCAAAGCCAACGGGCCCCTCTGGTGGGGGGCCAGCAGCAGCATCCCATATAAGGAAGGGCCCGCTGCTCCCAGTGCTCCAGACTCACCTAGTCTCACCCTGGTGAGTTAAAGCGAGCGCTCCAGCATTTACCAGCTGGTTCTGAATCTCCAGGCTGTAAACGTCACCCCCTCCATTAGAATCCTTCTCTCTACACCTCTTTC